TCTCTCTCTCTCTCTCCCATTAACTCTTTTAATAATCTCTCTTCATTAATTTTTCCGTTAACTCTCTCCTTCAATAACTCATGCCAATAATTCTCTCTCATCTCCATTACTTTATTAAATTGCATAAAATTCATTAAGATATTCAATGATATATTATTGGGCTAAATAATCTACTTCCATTTAAAATTATAATCCATTTATATTTCATTTGAAAATAATAAAAATTAAATAACCATAATAAAAATAATTTAGTAAGTTACTTAAATAAAATAAAAATAATTATTAACTATTATTTTTTATAAAAATATTTTTATTAATATAATAAAAAGAATTTAATTAATAAAAGGAATAAGATGAATTAAAAACTAATATAAATTTAAAATTAATATAAAATTATCAAACCGTTATTAGTTTTATAATTAAATTTTATTAATTTTGAAACCAACTTAAGTTCCACTAAAAATTAAAAATTTATATAGTTAATTAAATTTCATAAGGAATTTAAATTTAATAAAAAATTAATATACTTAAATAAATTTAATTTTTAAAATTAATAAAAATATTAATTTTAAATACATTTTAATTATTTTAAAATCAATTTAAATCTCATTTAAAAATAAGGAAAATTATAAAATCCTCCTTGGGTTTTCTAACAATCCTATGAAACTCCCTAGTGTTTTAACCTTTACAAAAACCTCTCTTATTGTTTTGAAAAAATGTGCTACCTCGCGAGTGTTTTAACCTTCACCTTCATCCTTTTTACCTTACTAAGTTATTTTTAGTAATTTAGTATGGGGGTTTGGAACGAGGAGAGGCAAGGGGACGTGGACCACATTACTATATATATATATATATATAGATAGATAGATAGATAGATGATAGATAGATAGATAGATATAGATTTTTTATTGGTATTTAATAATCAATACCTTAGTATTTTATTAATATTAGGGTTTGGGAGAATCGCACTCCGTGAAGAATGGGAATCAAAATCCTATTCTAACCACACAAATAATTGGAATCAGGCACCTATTCCAAGGAACCAAACAAACCCTAAGCTATTTTCTTCCCTTTCCTTTTCATTGGGACCTTTTCCACCATTGCTACCCCATGAACTACTGTTATATTGTACCTAGGTCACAGTTGCCACTACGGAGGTGTTCAATATCGTGGATCAGTCCATACTACCGGCCAATTTATCGTCCATGGGTTTTAATTGTAGATAGATCCACACTACAATTGTACTTCTTACCATGACTGATCTCATGCTTCAGATGATGTGTTTTTCCCTAAAAAATCTATCCCATATTTTTTACCATTGCAACATATCTCCTCTTCTCTCTTATGGTTCATTTGGTTGTCGAGAAATGGTAGAATGAGAAAGGAATGTATTTTTTCCCAATTTTACATTCAGTGTTTGTTTCCCGAAAAACAGTATGATCAAAATTCATTTCCATATGTTTGTTTTCTGAGAAAACACTGGATAAGAACTTTAGACTCTTTATGTTGTATTTTTAACATAAGTAATGAAAATTAAATTGCTAATAAATCCATCTCAACCATTAAACTCTCCAACATAGAACCTCTCACATTAGCATCCATTCCATATATACCCTTCTTAGCACATGATGATCAAGCACACATGGAATACCAATATATCAAGCATCCATAATGCATAAGAACATTCCTAACAAAAAAGAAGTATATAAAGAAGAGATTAGTTGAGAAGTTTTATCAAGTAACAAGTCCAGCTGTTCTAGTCATAATTTAATTTTTCCATAGCAGATTAGTTGAGAAGTATCAAGCATCCATCTTAATTCATATGGAAGAAGATAATGAACAGTTCTTGAAGGGTAATTTTGATAATTTTCAAAAATTTTAATAATACATGTCATCACGTGATACACATAACTGAAGGATGGTTAATGGTAGGTACTAAATTGATACATTTTAAAAGTTTGGATAATAGATTGATACGTTTTAAAATTTGGGGACCAAATTGACATTGGGCCCAAAGTACAAGATACTAATCTGGAATTTTCCCTTAATGATATTTATTGGGAGGTAGTTATTTCGATCACAACCTGAACTTGGAACAGTCTTCATTTTGTAGTGAGAAGCGACAACTTCTGTTACTTAGAGCGACCAACCATGTTAGAGTACTAATAAATCAATTCCTCCTGAACTAAAATTAAATGAAAACAAAAGATAAAAGAGATAACAATTTCACACGTTTACGTGTTGAGTGCAAACCTAAGTAACCACCTTTGGAATAATGAAAATGGAGCCAAAAGACCAAGATAACAGAAATTACATTATCAAGCCCAAAGACCAAAATCACAAACATCCGGACAACTTGAGAAAATTACAACCACAGGTGGATCAGGAGTTGGGAAACCTAATTAAGATGAAAATAATTAAGCGCAAAATTAGGTTAAAGATATAGAAAACCAAATACATTTAGGCTGTGTATGGAAGAGGTGTTTTTACATTGATGACGTTTTATACTGAACCGACCGTTATATTTTGAAAATCGATGTAAAAAATGTAAAGTTTTACATTGATAAAATTGATGTCGTTTTTATATCGATTATCGATGTAAAACTCTAAAGGTGATGAGGTTTTACTTCTATTATCGACATAAAACTATACTCTAGGGCTGTTCATGGGTCGGGTTGGGTCGGTTTACTGCGGTTTTTCCAACCGACCCGACTTGGTCGAGTTACCTGACATAGAAACTCAAACCGATTTAGTGTTAAGCAAAACTGACCTGGTCAGTTTGAGTCGGTTTGGGTCGGTTTTGGTTCTAAGTTCATCCCTGTGATAAAATCTTGCTAATTTTAAAAACAGTCATAAATTGAACATCATTTTAGCCATCTCCTATGATAAAATTTAAATGAAAAGTTGTTCATTAATCACTACTCACTAATCCAAAGTTTCTTGCAACCATTCAAAAACTAGGTGGCCTAATGGGCTTTGGAACTTCATGTTTGAATTAGGAACTAAATCGGTTTGGTTCGGGTCGATTTCGCTTTTCACATAAGAAAACTGAAACCGACCCGAATCATCGGTTTAGGAATTTGCACAACCCAAAACCGACCCGTACTGATGAAAACCTGGCCGACTCGGGTTGGGTCGGTCTAGGTTGATCGGTTTGATCGGGTTGGGCCTTCTTATGAACAGCCCTACTACACTCCATCACATGCAAAACTGAACCGAAGTATAATTTTACGTCGATAATAATTACACCCTTTTACTAAATGCATATAAAAACGAACCAATGTAAATTTTACATCGGTTCTTGATTTACATTGCATCATAGTGCAGCCTTAAGCATAACCAAGTAAAACAGAAAAGAAAATGAATAAAAACATAGGGAAACAAAAAAAAAAGGAACCTAATTAGAAAGAAAGATGTGGAGTCAGAGGAAACAATGAGCAATGAGAGATTAAAGGATAAAAGTGTACATACTCTGAACCTTGTGGGATAAAGAAACCCAAGGAATGGATTCTCGTTTGGGATATGCATATGTATTTGTTACATTGGATGCATTACGAATGCATTGTACACCAAACAAACATCTGCAACTTCCGTCGTTTTAAGGTGGGACTGAAACTGTATTCAAGATTTTGTTGGGTGGAGATGGATTTTTAAGGGTTTTCAATAAGAACAAAGAAAAAAAGTGCTTATACTTGCCTGGAATTGGAAAAAGAAGGGGAGGAAATGGGGACTCAAGTTGCAGCCCTTGTGTTTTCGTTGGATATAGTATCGGATCGTATTTGATAGGGGTATTATCCAAATCCGATCACCAAAATACATGACATGACATTAGGGTTTTCAATGAGTCGGGTTTGAATTGGGTTCAATAGAATCGAAACCGATTCGACAAGAAATATTGACCCAAAATCAAACCTTATAATTTTAGACCCAGAACCAAATGGATTGATTCTCAAAACAATTGGGTTTAATGCAATGGACCCAATTATAATAAATTTACTGAAAATATTTTATATATAATATTAATTTATTTAATATACATTAAATATATATATATATAGCTCGAGTCGAGTCAGGACTGAATCAGTTCGGAATTGGGTGGAACAGGTTTTGAACCAATAACAATCGAAACAATATGACCTGTTCACATCCATAACTTAGATACTAACAGATCGGGTCAATATCCAACTTGACCCTATTCATGAATCCAACATAAATGAATCTAATCCAACCCACTATAACCCTATTCGATTCGGTTTAAAGAGAGGAACATGCGTGGTATATGCAATCATTTTCATCATCTTTAGCCTCTAACATGGGTTTAAAAGGTGGAGTCAAATCACCTTTTCGAGTGGCAACGCCTCAGCTCTTGTGAGGTGTGCACCTTAATTAGTTCTATTAATTGAAAAAGTATCCATTTGATTACTCTTATTTTCTAAATATATTAATCGTTATGTGCCACAACTAATATAAATTATTTCATGCTCTTGTGCAGAATCATTGGCTCGTGAAGGCTTTGCCCCTACACCCACCCCTGTCGCCCTGTCGGGTGCATTAACAATCTAAGCCTGATAAATACCAATTCAGTTCTCAAACCTGAGATGCCTGTCAACCTCCCTTACAACTTTAAATTGTGCTACCAAAAATCCTAGACTAGTTCCAGGGAAAAAACCTTGATCAAGATAAAGCCTGAACAAATAGATGATATCAAGACCAAATCGAAAAATAGCCAAGAATTCAATGGTGTTGAATCTTTTTCCAGTCTACCATTCCTATACTGTCATAGGCCACGTCTCAAATGACTTGGCAACAACTGAACTAACAATTCTATTTTGTAATAATCAAATTAGACTCTTGATATCCCATCCTCACAGACGCACCTCACAACAGACAGTTTTAAGTTTTAACCACATAATGTTTGGATAATCAGAAAAGTAATGGTTCACAATCAATTCATTAGTTGTTTGAATTGTCCAACCTTGGTTTTGATAGAGTGCTCATAGTGATATTCGACTCTTGAATAAGGTGACACACTGTATTGCAGGTTCCATGCAAAAAGATCAAAGTCAGCTACAATATTAACAATTACCAATATATGGCGCACTTTTAAGAGTGTTTCTAATCTTCATCAGACTCTTCATAAGGTTCGAAGTATAGGATTTTTGCTTTTGGGGAAGCCCGACAGAATCGCAACAACTCCTTACACATATTTGATCCTGCGGCAGTTACTTCTGATTCAGGTGCAATACACATCGTCTCAAGCACCGGTGCATTAGCGAGTAAAAGCTTCAAAAATTCCAACTCAACTCTCATGCCATATATATATCTCATTTTGACAACTTGAAGTTCGTTCAAGAAACAGCCAGAGTGGAATTGCTCTTCCATGAATTCTAGGACAGGTTCCATATCTCTGGGAGCACCTTTATCAAGTTGTGCCTATAGAAATTCATAGAACTCAAGACAAGTTTAAAAATTAATGACAAAATGAAAACTTTGAAATTAAAAATTGAAAGAATAATTAAATTTGATATAACTCACCGATATCTCAAGTCGTTGTAATTTTGGGACACTTTTAAACAAGCAAAAAACCACTGAAATCACCTTCAAATTACAGAATGTTATGCAATCGAGATAAAGCCTTCTTAGGTGGTTATAAATATGTGGAAGCTTCCTTGGAATATTGCCAGTAGCCAAGAACTTCAAATACCATATGAGAAGAAGAGGAATACATAAGAAACATGTTCCACAAATAGAATGTTTGAATGAACATGAGATTATATCATTTGATTTAAGCCTTTTTTTCCTTTTTTTTTTTTTAGGGGGGGGGGGGTCTTATCACAATGCTCTTATCTAAGTGGAGCCATTGCCGGTTGTAAAATGTAGTTCATTTCTTGAGATCCTGAAATCACCTTCTTTCAACCTTTTCTTAGCAAGTTGGTGGATATAATCATTTCATTCTAGGGTTCAACCAAATCAAAATGTAATAAATTACACCAAACAAAAGGAATATAATCATCTTACCTTCATGGTTTCATTTCCCAATTTAAGTTCTTCAATGCGAGCTAAGCCTCCTAGAGCCTTGATCAAGTTAGACCTTCTACCTTGATCAATATAATTGCTTCCTCCAATTGAATAACCACATTTATAAATTGCTACATTTACTAAAAGCGGACAATTTTTGAAGCAAATACGTCTAAAACTACCACAGAGATATATGAGGATGAGATTAGGAGCATCAACTTCTATATCAGTGAGACCATTAAAATCATCTAATTCCAATATCTCAAGTAGTGGACAGCTGGAAATCAAACATCCAATTGTAGATCCAACAAAGGTTATGTTATAAAGACGAAGTCTCTTTAGATGGTTAAAGCCTAAACCCTTGGATGTTGGTGGAATTCTGAATATGCAACCTCTAAGTTCCAAATATCTCAGTTGTTTGCAGTGAAAGAGAGAGGAAGGCAAAGTATACTTGCCCCCTCCCCCGCCAACATCAATATGCAAGATTAACTCCTCAATAGCATTTCTTGACAGGAAAAGTATCCATTTATCAATACCAGAACAACTTCGTAGAGCTAATCCGGACAGTTCAAACTTCTTTATGTAGCCAACATGAATCAATAGAACTTGGTGGACAATCTTAATGAGTTTGGACTTGATACGAGATTCGTAATCGAATACGATTTTAGGAAGGGTAGCCCATTTGTACCTCCATTCTGTGGATAAGATGCTTGTTCTCACTGCATCCTTTATGGGCAAATTCACCAGGATATTTTCAATGATGTTTATTGGGAGGTAACTGATTCGATCACAACCTGAACTTGTAACAGTCTTCATTTTGAAATGAGAAGCAACAACATCAATCTATTCCTTAACTCTGCAACAAAACAAGAAAACAATGTTAGAGTAATAAACCAATCCCTCTTCAATAACAAAACAGGTTAAATGATAACAGGAGAGAAAAAAAAAAAAGATAGGACAATTTCATACGTTTGCATTGAACAACTTAAGCCCACTACTAAGATTGCTAAGTTGGCAAAAAATGAATGCAGACCAACCCAGCAAAATCCCATCCTAAGAGAATAATGACAAAACCCATCTACCCTCTTAATCGACAAACACCAAACATCCACCTCGGGAATAATAAAAAAAGAAAAGTTAATAACAGAAAGCAGAAATCTTAAGAATATCTAGCCCAAAAGTCCGGCCAGCTTCAGAAAATTACAACTATGAGTGGGTCAGAAGTTCGAATACCTAATCACAACGAAAAAATCGAAAATAACTGATGGCCAAAGTAGGTCCAAGATATAGAAAACGAAATACATTTGTGGGTTCGACTCCCACTTTGGTCGATTCGGTTGTATCAAAAAAAAAAAGCATAACCAGAAAAGGGATGAAGCAGAGATTAAAGTCTAAAGGAGTATCTACTCTGAAACTTGCCTCGATGGGATAAAAAAATAAACTGAAGGTAGTGATGTCTGGGATGTAAGTGAAAGAACGAAAACGAATCGCTTCTCGCAACCAACAAAATTCCTAGAGGGGAAAGATGAACTAAACTTGAGGAGCGATAAGCATACGAATTTTTTTTCATCGGATGCATTACAAACGCAACATACACCAAACAAACATCTGGAACTTCCGTCGTTTCAGGTGGGTCACCAACAGTTAACACAGGTGGGACTGAAACTGAAACAGTATTCCAGATTTTGCTGTAGGATGAATTTCCAAGGCGTACAGATAGAATAAGAACAGAAAAAAGAAGTGGTCATATTTGCCTGGAAAACGAAGATAAAGAGGAAATCCTAACCTCTCCTCCAGTTCTTCTTCCTTACGGTGACGCCCCTTTTTGTTTTCTTGTGGATTCTTCGCTTTCTGTGCTCAGGGCTTGCTTACGTGCGAAGTTAAAGCTTTAAAAAGCTGGATTGTACGTATGTATGTACTGAAAATTTTTGGACCCCGTTTGGGAAGAGTTTAAATAGTGTAAAATGCAAATGTGCAAGTGAGTTTTCAAACATGCAAATGCAAAGTTTGGTTTAGTTTTGAATTGATAAATTTGTTTTCTTGCCAAATAATTTTTAGGTATATATTTTACATGACAGAATTTGACATTTTTTTCTATTGTAAACTTTGCAGTTTGCACTTTTGAGAGAGAGGGTATTCTTGCAATTTGGTATGGCTCATTGCACAGCGGTAATGTGCTGTGGGGTGCCATGCGAATTCAGCTTCTAACCTCATAAGCTTATAGTTTAACATTTTTCATGTTTGTTTAGCTTTTCTGCTTTTGAAGGAAAATGACAACTTGAAACTCATAAATCAAATTCTAACTTAAATTAATTATTTTTAGGTTTTCAAAAGTATTATTAAGTTGTATTGATCGGAAACATTAGACGATCCGGTTAGGATGGAGGCAAATCCATACCCTTTTCCGACCTCTTAATATAGCACAATATCAAGATTCAATGGGAAGAAGGAGATCGGCTTCGGTTAGGGCAATTTTGTGCTCACTCTGTTCCAATAGCCTTTTACAATCTTGCATCGGAAATATCTCTCCATGAAATAAAATACATGAGTAGGAAGATATTCTCAATATAAGGCTGTAAAAGCTGCTCGAACTACACCCTCACGAAGCCGAACTCTCTAGAGAAACATGGGTGGTGAACATCAACCTTCCCATGAATGACAAAATCAGGTAGGGGAGATGTTTTCAGTGCATGACTGAAAGCACTCTGAGATTGGTGTAAGAGTGTCAATAGACCAGTTTTGGACTGGACCCATCTAATCCAAAATCAATTTGAACAGATTGGATGGACCAATAAGACATTGGATTGGACCAATTCAATTCAAAATATTTATTAGATAAGATTAGGACTGATTTGTCTGTAATAAATTTATATTGGATTGGATTGGATTAAGCCAATATCTGGTCTATTGAGGCATTGATATAAGATAAGAATATAGGTATCAATGGACTAGATTTGGGTTGAAACCAATCTAAATTAAAATAAATTTGAATAAATTGACCAATTCAGACATTAAATTAGACCAATCCAAAATATTCATTGACTTGATCCATTTGTAATGAACTCACATTGGATTGGATCATATTGGACCAAATTCAATCCAATTGACACCCTTAGGTGTGAGTCAGACACGCTATAAGGAAAAAAACCCGCATTCAACAAAAAATGCCTACTAGCCCTCCTCGACACCCTTGGCATGTTTCCGACACAGAAGGACTAAGGACCCACCTTTGAGGCTTTGGGTGTAGACTCCCAACACCAACAGAGTACTGAGTACCCTTTCTATTTAGGTAAGGGCTTTTTGCAAAAACAAAAAAACTAATAAAGTTTACAATATTGGCAGATTCGGTTATATATTCAAAAAAAAAAAATGCAAAAACAGTGAAAGAACTAAAAAAGTCAACCTTTTGTGACCAAAAAGCCCCTTATTAAAAAGCATGACCAAACTCTATTCTCTCCCACTAGATAAAAGCCAGCCCAAACTCTATCTCTGTCACTAAACGAAACTCCCCTCCTTCATCGTCTCATCATCTAAAGGTTCTTTCCCCTCTTCATTCATACAACTCTCTCTCTCTCATTATTTGATTAACGTTTGATCAAAGCTGGTTAATAGTATTTTCTCATCACTGAGACGGTCAATGGGCTGGCATTTTTGAGTTTTTGCGACAACACATTTGCATCAAATATCAGTAACCAGACAAAAGCTCTGCGTATAGAGTTGTTCAAACATGTGAGTGAGGTCCTTACAGACCGTTCCAAGCTGGTACTTGATGAAATAACTGAGAAAAAATGGAAACACTCCCTCAAATGAGAAATACCTTTTCAAACTTGCATAGAGTAAAGATTAAAAGGTTCATTTCATTGAGTTGAAAGAAGTTGATGCCGCCTGCAAATTTAATGGTGATCAAATCATTTTTATAGGCCTTTTACAAGAAGAAAATTGCTCAGAATGGATGGTTGATCCTACCCAATTAATCTAATAAACTAATCGTGATGCGTATGCTGCTCATCTCAAACAATTGCGGAAGATGGAGCTTCCTCGCTCATTGGAATGATATTGTGAAACACCATCCAACTTGTATAATGTTAGTTGGTTTCTAAATCTATAAAACACCATCCGGTCTCCACTATAGTGGACTATCTAGGGAAAGACCGGATGGTTTATTACAAAGTTGGAAATCATCCAACATTACACAGACCGGATATTGTTTTACAGAGTTGAAAACCATCCAGTATTACATAGGCCAGATGATGTTTTACAAACTTAAAAACCATCTGACATTAAACAAACCGGATGGTGTTTTACAGACTTAGAAACCATCCTGTATTACATAGGCCGGATGATGTTTAACAAACTTAAAAACCATCTAGCATTAAACAAATCAGATGGTGTTTTACAGACTTAGAAACCATTCGACACTAAAAAGACCGGATGATAGTTTGCCATTTTGAAACATAAACTAGTGGAATGGCGCATGCAATGAACGGGGTATTTGATATTGATGGTGATGTTGACTGTGCTTTTATATATTGGGTATAGATTTGTAATTTATGTTATTTTCTTCAATTTTTATGATTTTCTATTTTTTGTAAATTTTCTATGTATTTCTTTGTTTTTTATAGTTTATATTATTTTCTTTATTTTATGTGTTTTTTCAAAATTATTTTGCAATAACATATATATAATGGGAAAAATAGAAAGTTAAGGGTAAAGTTAGGAAGTAAAAATAGAGTGTTTTGACCAAACCAATTGTACCATTCTCATTTTTCAGTATGATATACAAGTTTCTATGATTTTCTACATTAATGTACTTCTTTGTTTTTTGTAATCTATATTGTTTTCTACATTTTATGTTTTTGATAATTATTTTGTAGTGATAATATATATAATGAAAAAAATAGAAAGTTGAGGGTAAAGCTGGAAAGTAAAACCAGCATGTTTTGACCAAACCAATTGCAACATTCTCATTTTTTAGTATATAGGATATGCATGGTATATAAATTTTTATGATTTTCTATATTTTTTTGTAATTTTTTTGTGTATTTCACATTCTCATTTTTTTAGCATGGTATAAAAAATTTTATGATTTTCTATTTTTTTGTAAATGCTTTTGTGTATTTCTTTATTTTTTTGTTTTGTAATTTATATTGTTTTCTTTATTTTGAGGAGAAAGGTGCATAGGATAAAGAGACACCATTTCTATTTCCTCTTTCTTATTGTAAAGTAAGGGGAGTGGATAAGATATACACTATACAAAGAGGGGTTTAAAGGAGAGAACTGGGGTTTTAGAATTTATTTCTTCGCTTCATGTGTGAATAATAATATTTGGCCTTTTGCCTTATGTCATTTTGCTCGTCAATGGTGGGGTCATTCTTTGCATATCTAACGTTTAGCGTTTGAATATAGGTTGATCTTAAATCATTTATATTCGGATTTGAATTGAACATCCGTCTAATTTTTGTAGAAGAGTCCAGATCTCCTGCCAACAAAATGTATTCCAAACCCCTACAACCCTGCCAAGTACCAAATCCCTATGGTATTACATTGGTAGGGTGTTAGATTATTGGACTAGCCTGATGATTGTTGAGAAAAAACACCCAAAAACAAATCAATATAATGAACTTAAAAGCATTTCCCGATCCAATACAATTTATTATGTTAACGGAGGTAAACAAAATAGAGGGGAAATGGGAAAAAAATACCTGAAAAAATAGGGAGAAAACCAAAAAAGGCTTCATTTTATCATCTAATTGATTGTTCGATGATGAAAATAGAGAGGTCAAAAAAAGCCATTCCCCCCTTCAATTTGAATTTGTGGGTTTTGGGCAAACCATCCAATACTTGACACATGTTGGCTCTAATCAATGAAGAGATTCGTCAGGTAGGCCTGACAGGAGTAGGCCTATCAATGATACCCAGAAATCTGAGGCCCAATTCGACATCCAATCTGATTATCTTGGATTTAGATTACGTATTTATGTAATCAGATCAGATTGCGATGTTACAATCTACATCAAATTAATAATCAGATCGAATTTAGATTTGACCCAATATGATTTGATTAAAATTTGAATATGATTATATTATAATATTTATTAATTTTAATATATAAATTCTATATAATTATATTAAAATTTATAAAAATATATTTTAAATATTATATTATATATGAATTTATATATAATAAATTTAGTATGTTATATTTATATTAATTTGTTGTATATAAAAGTTGAAAAATAAATAGTTTTTTAATTTTAGTGGTATTTTAGAGAATTTAAAGTAGAGTCCGATTAAATCTGAATCCGATATGAGTTTGTTAGGATTCAATTTCGAATATGAGTGTCTAAATCCAATTGAATTTCATATCAAAATTGAATGTAGGTTCTTAATATTCGGATTGGATGTGCATTTTGCTACATCCAATCAGAATCTGATCCAATTGCAGACTTATTGGGGAGAAGATCAAATAAGGCCTAAGGGGAGAGAGAGGAGTAGGTTCCATAGCGGTTTTATTATTATTTTATTTGTTATAAGCATGAACTATTAACTAAATAAAATTGGAAAAATAAAAAACTATTATTATTTTATTTGTTTTATCCAATTACAAGTGTTAATCGTTAATTAAATAAAATTAGAAAACTAAAAAAGGGTAAAAATGGAAAGTGAAAATCAGGCTTTTTCATGAAACGTTGTCACCATCCTCATTTTTATAAATGGTACAAACAACATTCTCATTTTTTAGTATGGTATAGAGATTTTTATGGTTTTCTGTATTTTTGTAATTTTTTGCATATTTCTTTGTTTTTGTTGTAATTTATATTGTTTTCTTCATTTTGAGGAAAAAGGTGCTTAGGATAAGAGAGATGTTATTTTTGCTTCCTCCTTCCTACTATAAAGTAAGGGGAGTGGATAAGATATACACTATGCAGAGAAGGGTTTAAAGGTGAGAATTTGGGTTTTAGGATTTATGTCTTCGCTTCACGTGTGAATGATGACATTTGGCCTTTTGCCTCCTATCGTTCTGCTCATCAATGGTGGGGCCGCTATTTGCCTATCTAATGCTTAGCATTAGGATATAGGTTAATCTTAATTCATTTATATTCAAATTCGAATTGAACATCCATTCAATCTATATAGAAGAATCTGGATCTCCTGCCAACAAAATGCATTCCAAACCCCTATGGCCCTACCAAGTACAATCCTTACGATATTACGTTGGTAGGGTGTCAGATTACCGGATTGGCCTGATGATCATTGAGAAAAAACACCTAAAATGAATCAATATAATTGATGTAACCGTTTTTGGTCACGTACCATTTTTTGTGATGTATAA